TCGGCCCAAACGTGTCATTCACGAAGGGTGCTCTAAATTTGGAGGCTTTTTTTGTGTTGGCCAATTGCGATTACCACGAAGGGTGCTCCGAATTTAGAGACATATTCGGCCCAAACGTGTCATTCACGAAGGGTGCTCTAAATTTGGAGGCTTTTTTTGTGTTGGCCAATTGCGATTACCACGAAGGGTGCTCCGAATTTAGAGACATATTCGGCCCAAACGTGTCATTCACGAAGGGTGCTCTAAATTTGGAGGCTTTTTTTGTGTTGGCCAATTGCGATTACCACGAAGGGTGCTCCGAATTTAGAGACATATTCGGCCCAAACGTGTCATTCACGAAGGGTGCTCTAAATTTGGAGGCTTTTTTTGTGTTGGCCAATTGCGATTACCACGAAGGGTGCTCCGAATTTAGAGACATATTCGGCCCAAACGTGTCATTCACGAAGGGTGCTCTAAATTTGGAGGCTTTTTTTGTGTTGGCCAATTGCGATTACCACGAAGGGTGCTCCGAATTTAGAGACATATTCGGCCCAAACGTGTCATTCACGAAGGGTGCTCTAAATTTGGAGGCTTTTTTTGTGTTGGCCAATTGCGATTACCACGAAGGGTGCTCCGAATTTAGAGACATATTCGGCCCAAACGTGTCATTCACGAAGGGTGCTCTAAATTTGGAGGCTTTTTTTGTGTTGGCCAATTGCGATTACCACGAAGGGTGCTCCGAATTTAGAGACATATTCGGCCCAAACGTGTCATTCACGAAGGGTGCTCTAAATTTGGAGGCTTTTTTTGTGTTGGCCAATTGCGATTACCACGAAGGGTGCTCCGAATTTAGAGACATATTCGGCCCAAACGTGTCATTCACGAAGGGTGCTCTAAATTTGGAGGCTTTTTTTGTGTTGGCCAATTGCGATTACCACGAAGGGTGCTCCGAATTTAGAGACATATTCGGCCCAAACGTGTCATTCACGAAGGGTGCTCTAAATTTGGAGGCTTTTTTTGTGTTGGCCAATTGCGATTACCACGAAGGGTGCTCCGAATTTAGAGACATATTCGGCCCAAACGTGTCATTCACGATGGGCGTTTCGAATTCAGAGGCTTTTTTGTGTTGGCCAATCGCGATTGCCACAAAGGGTGCTTCGAATTCGGAGGCTTATTCGGCCCAAACGTGTCATTCACGATGGGTGCTTTGAATTCGGAGGCTTTTTTATGTTTGGCCAATCGTGATTGCCACAATGGGCGCTCTGAATTCGGAGGCTTATTCGGCCCAAACGTGTCATTCACGAACGACGCTCCGAATTTGAAGACTTTTTGTGTTTGGCCAATCGTGATTGCCATGAAGGGCGCTCCGAATTCGGAGGCTTATTTGGCCCAAACGTGTCATTCATGATGGGCGCTCCGAATTCGGAGGCTTTTTTGTGTTTGGCCAATCGTGATTGCCACATAGGACGCTCCGAATTCGGAGGCTTATTCGGCCTAAACGTGTCATTCATGAAGGGCGCTCTGAATTCGGAGGCTTTTTTGTGTTTGGCCAATCGTGATTGCCATGAAGGGCGCTCCGAATTCAGAGCCTTTTTTATGTTAGCCAATCGCGACTGCCACGAAGGACGCTCCAAATTCATTGGAGGCTTATTCGGCCCAAACGTGTCATTCACGGAGGGTGCTCTGAATTCAGAGGCTTTTTTGTGTTGGCCAATTGTGATTTCCATGAAGGGTGCTGTGAATTCGGAGTCTTGACATAACCAGAACTCACTGGGCAAGAGAGAGAACATTATATTAAAAAAAAGAAATATGTACACGGCGTAAAATCAAAACAAGCTGTCGTGCCATACAAGTTTACTTAATAATAAAATTTGCGCAAATGTGTGGAATTCCACGGACGCGGCAAGCTTCTTCCATCCATGTCTTTGAGCCGATATGCTCCTGTCCCTGCGATTGAGTTAATCTGGTAGGGGTTGTCCCAGTTGGGACCCAATTTTTCGTCAGCGGGATTCCTAGCAGCGGGAAGCACTTTCTTGAGGACCAACTCTCCTGGTGTATAACGGCGTAGCTGAACACGTTGATTATATGATTTAGCGAGCTATTGCTGGTACCGTGCCATGGATACAAGGGCACGGTCTCGGCGTTCTTTAATTAGAGTCAAGTCTAAGGCCAACATCATGTCATTTCGGCCCATGTCAAAAACCTTTGATTTCAAGGTTGGAAGTCCGATCTCCAGGGGGATGATTGCCTGGGTTCCAAAGCACAGAGCAAACGGCGTTTCCCATGTGGATCACCTTGGAGTAGTGTGATGAGCCCACAATACACTGGGCAACTCTTCGACCTATTTGCCTTTAGCTTTCTCCAGCCTTTTGTTGATACCATCCATAATAATCTTGCTGGTGGCCTTCGCTTGACCATTGTTTTGGGGGTAAGCCGGTGAGGAAAAGTAGGGCTAGATACTATAAATGTTGCATAACTCTCGATACACACCACAATCAAACTAGGTACCATTGTTTGAAACAAGTGCTCGGGGTATGCCGAATCTCGTTATGATGTTTTTCCATACAAAACGCTTAATGTCGGAATCTCGAATATTTGTTAGTGCCTCCGTTTCGACCCATTTTGTGAAATAATTCGTCGCAACAATTAGGAATCGCTTGTTGCCTGGTGCCCGTGGTAACGATCCAACGATATCAAGCCCCTATTGAGCGAATGACCAAGGACTAGTGATTGAGTTTAACTCCTCGGCAGGCAGATGAGTTAGAGGGGAAAACTTTTGGCACTGCTCACATTTCTTGACATAACACTCGGCATCGGTTCGCATGGTCGGCCAATAATACCCCTACGTGATGGCTCGATGGGCTAGAGATAGTCTGCCCGAATGGGCACCACAACTGCTTTCATGTATTTCAGACAGAAGTTCCTCAACTTTATCTGGGTGAACACATTCTAAGTACGGCTCAGAGAGAGATTTTTTGTAGAGCTTTACCTGCGGATCCAAATAGTATTGGAGGGCTTTGTTTCGCAGTTTGTGTGCTTTCTTCTTATCCGTCGAGAGCTGCTATGAAGATAGGAATACGGCGATAGGGTCCATCCAACTTGGACCCAGTTTGATAATGTTGACTTGAACTGATTTTGAAGTGGCAATGCTCAGCTCTGGGACGAAACCTACTTTGATTGTCCACTTAATTTCTGAGTTGATGGCAGAGACTAAGCAAGCAAGGGTGCTTGCATGCGTGTTCTGATCCCAGGTTATTTGATTCAGTTCGTGGTGATCAAATTTCACGAGCAAAGAATTTGCTGCTTTCATATAGGCTGCCATGCGGTCATTTTTGGCTGTATATTCCCTTTTCAATTGGTTGATTACTAGCTTTGAGTCACAGAAAACAAGCAGACGTCGCGTACCGAGGTGAAGTGAATTTTGTAAGTCGGTTAACAGTGCTTTGTATTCAGCCTCATTGTTCGAAGCGTCAAAGCCCAGTTTGACGGCCTGTTCGATTATTGCCCCTTTGGGGGACATGATTACTACGCCAGCCCCACTGCCACGCTAGTTGGATGACTCGTCACAATACATCTGCCAAAGGTCACCAACATACATTCTCCAGTTGGGTTTAGTTTGCACTTGATCAAACTTAAAGTCGGCGAGGGATCCGGTGAATTCAGCTAAAAAATCGGCAAGCACTTGCCCTTTGATGGAAGTTCTGGGTAGAAACTGGATATCATACTGGCCGAGTTCAAGAGCCCATTTCGAAATGCGCCCCGATGCTTCTGCGCTGCGGAGCGCTGGCCGGAGAGGATACTTCGTTGGTACCCCAATGGTATGCCCCTGAAAGTAGTGCATCAATTTTCTTGCAGCCATGACGAGAGCAAGGATAAGCTTTTCTAATGGAAGGTAATGTGTTTTGGCGTCGGCCATAGCTTTGCTCACAGAATAAACTGGTCGCTGCTCCCCAAGTTCTTCCCTTAACAGTACGGCGCTGACCACCCGGTCAGATACTGCCAGATACAAAATGAGCGGATTGCCTGCAGAAGTGTGGCCAAGAGTGGTACTGATCGGAGATAAGACTTCAAGCCATCCAAAGCGGCCTGGCACTCGGGGTTCCAATCAAATGCTCTGCCTTGCCGAAGTGAATGAAAGAATTGTTGGCAGTGATCCGTGGACCGACTGACAAACCTATTGAGCGCGGCGGCCATTCCCATCAGCTTCTGAACCTCTTTGACTGACTGAAGAGATCTAAGATCTAGAATTGCCATGATTTGCCTCAGATTGGCTTTGATTTCGCGGTGGTTAACGATGTAACCAAGGAATATTCCGGATCCGATGCCGAATGCACACTTAGAAGCGTTCAATTTCATCTTGTACTTTCGAAGGATGCTGAACGTTTCTGACAAATCGGCTAGATGGGAGTGCTTTTCCTTGGATTTGACCACCATATCGTCGATGTATACTTCCATGGTATGGCCAAGTTGTTCCTTGAACATGGCAGTCACTAATCTTTGATAAGTTGCCCCCGCATTCTTCAGCCTAAAAGGCATGACCTTATAGCAATAGGTTCCTCTTGGGGTGAGGAATGCATTTTTTTTTTATCCTCCGGATGTATGGCAATTTGATGGTAGCCCCTGTAGGCATCCAAGAAGCTCATGCGTTGATGATGTGCTGTTGCATCTACGAGTTGGTCTATTCTGGGCAGGGGAAAACAATTATTGGGACAAGCTTTGTTCAAGTCCGTGAAATCCACACAGACACGCCAAGAGCCATTCTTCTTCTTTACGACCATAGTATTGGACAACCATGTAGGATAGGTTACTTCGCGAAGCGCCCCAGCGTCAAGTGACAGATCTACTTCTTTAACAATGACCAAAGTATGCTCCGCGGCTGACTGACGACTTCTCTGAATAATTGGCTTACATTTCGGATCAACGTTTAAGCGGTGTTGGACCACTGATGGATCCACTCCTGGCATCTGGTATAAGGACCATGCAAATACATCAATATTCCCGAGTAAGAAGGATACCAACTCCTATCTTTCAACTTTATCCAAGAAAGCGTCGATCATGAAGAACTTGTCAGGACTTCTGTCAATTTCGACCCGATGCAAGGCTTCAGTTACCTTTTCACTTGGGATCCTCCCAATGTCTTCGAGGCTCTCTCTATCCAGTACCTCAATCGAATGCACTTCCAGTTCTCTTGGTCTCTTTGTAGCTAGAAGATAGCATGCCTGCGCCGATTTCTGAGAGCCGCGAATTTGTTCGATACTGTATTTAGTCAGAAAACGAAGTAGTTGGTGGTAGGTGCTTGGCACGGGTTGCATCGTATATAACCAAGTTCTGCTCATGATGAGATTATACGGCGAAAGAAGCGTGACAACTAGAAATTCTACGTCTACTGATTTGGTGTCGGCCCGTACTGGTAAAGTAATTTTGCCCAAAGGATACTCCGAGTTAACATTGAAGCCGAATAACGGGTAATCAGTCGGAGACAGGTCCAAGTCGGTAAAACCAAGTTTGATGAAAGTTTTGTAATACATTATTTCTGAAGTGCTGCCTTGGTCAATGAGAACACGCTCAATGGTGAATCTGTTTACGTGTAGTTCGATGATGAGGGGATCAATGTGGGGGTGCGTCACTCCAATTAAATCACTGTCATCGAAACTGATCCTTCCAGTGTCGTAGGGCCGTTTCGCTGGCGTTATTGGGCTATGGGGGCTAGATGGCAACTGGACTGTATGCACCTCGGGTGACGTCGGCATGCTGTATATCATATGAATTACACCAAGAGGAGGTGACTCTGGTCGTAGAGCTACTGTGTTTGTTGAATTGTTCTTTCGGACATGTTGCGTGAGACGGCCGTCTTGCACCAATTCTTCAAGATGATCTTTTAATGCATAACAACTATCAGTGTCGTGACCATGGTCTTTATGATACTCACACCGTTTATCTTGTCTTCTCGCATCAGGAGGTCCCGTCATCTTGGGTGGCCACTTGAAGAACGGAAGGAGTTGTACTTTCGATAGAATCTTATTGATCGGCTCTGTCAGCTCCATGTATTTCTTGCCCGAACGCCTTGTGCGCCTGCTATCCACTTGATACTGTTCATTAGCTCGATGTGAACATTGGTTGTTTGATCGGCGCGAGTCATGCCTTTTGTTTCGTTTAGACCGATTCCGCCGCTTGGGGCTTCTTGATGGCACGACACTAATCGGTTGAACAGTTCCCAACGTGGCCATCTCAATGGCTTTATAATTGGCTTTGACTCAAAGGGCATCGTCTTTCACTTTGCAGTATTGTTTAACCTTCTTCATTAATGCCTAGACGGTTTTGGGGGGATGCCTAGTTAATGAATTTGCGGAGGGGGCTATCAGGATGCAATCCCATCTTAAAGGCGGTGATGGCCATGGAATCATTGCAAGCATCATCTACCAGATTAAAGCACTCCTAATAGCGGGCCGAATATTCACTAAGAGTTTCTTCCGGTTTAATTTGCATGGCCCAAAGAGAATCGACTTGCTTCGGCTGGACCTCATTAGTGATGAATCTCGCCCTGAATGACTTTTGGAGTTGGTGGAAGCTTTTAATCGGTGCTGGCTCCAGTTTATAGTACCATCTCATGGCCAGTGGTCCCAGATTGCTGTAGACACCCCATTTTTGACCGTCCTCAAGACTTGGACGTCACCGGTTGAACACTCGGTGATCATCCATGTTCGTGTTCGTTTTGAGTTCCCGGAGGTCTCGGCTGCATGCCTTGCCTCAGGATCTCTTAACTCGACTATTTTTGTATTTGGTTTTGCACCAAACACTTGTGTTTTTGCTTTGAAGGGTAGGGAGTGGCTTGTTGGCCATCCCCACACCTCACCGGCCCTTCTCTTACATCACCAGCCATGTCTTGAGACCACCGGCCGTGTGTTATTGCCACCGGCCATTGGTGATGGCCGGTCGGTTATTTGGGTGGTCGACCGGCACTCTGTTTGGCCGATGGCATCCTTTTCTGGCCGGTACCACTTTTTTGCCTCTTGCAGGCATGGTGCATGCCAGCTATGCCAGCTGGAATGCACAGACCCTGCCCCCTATGCACGGGTGTGGCTGTTTTGAACCTTTGCACCCTTTTAGGTCCAAGCTTCCTAGAGAAGATTGCACCCTTTGCTCAAGCTTCTTGAGGAAGCTTGACCCTTTGTCTTAGCTTCCTCAAGAAGCTTGCACCCTTAGCTTAGCTTCCCTTGGAAGACTTGACCCCTTTAGGATAGCTGCTATTGGAAGCTTAGCCTTTCCCCTTGTCTATATATGGAGACCTCTCTTCTCCATTAGGGAGGTTTAGGAAAACCAGACCATATATGATATATATTTGATATATATCACTCTCTCTCTCTCTATATCTGCCCCTCTCTCTTCATTTGTGTGTGTTTGAGGGCCTAAAAGTGTATTTAGTTCTTAGTTTTGCACTAAGTCACCTACTATTACACCATACTTCGACTTTGGAGGTCTTGAGGGTTTGTTCTTGGAGCTTTGGGTCGGTTTTGATCAGAAGAAGAGGCCTGAGCTTGCTGTTCTTGAAGTGTTCTTCAAGGGTAATACTATTTACTTTATATTCTCCAATCTTGCACTAGTCTTTAACCTATCTTGCATACTGATTCAAGCTTTGTGTATAACTAAAAAAAGTCTTGTATTTTCATTCTTAAGATTTTTCATTAAGGTCCTTTTGGTGTTGGGGGTCGGCCTCCTCCTCTTAGGCCTTGTTTGGCCCCTTTTGTGCTCTCTTTGATAAGCTTTGGGGACTTTTGTGTATTGGCCTTCTCACCACTGAAATCCAGTGGATTTTCAGTGGTGAAGAAGGGGTTTTGAAGTCTTGTATAGGGGAGGGACACCCCTCTCCCTTTGTCTCTCTTTTGTTTACATTTTTGGCTCATAAGGGCAGCATGCATGATTAGCTGTTCTTGACTCCATTTCAAAAGTTTTTGGCTGTTATTTGGGCATATCTTACCTCTGTTTTTGGTCAGATTAAAGGTCCCTTGCATGCATAATATACTTGCTTTGTATTTCCCCGTTTTGCCTAGAAGTGCATCATGCATTTAGCCTACTATGCTCTCATGTTTTGGCCTAACTTTGTGAAGTTCTTAGCCATGTCTTACCATGCTTAAGGTCTGTTGGGAGCTTATTTGATCATATTTACCATGTTTGGTATAGCCCCTTTGTATTTTGGCTTGTGAGCCTTGAGTGTGTGAGTCATTAGCATGCTTTAGTTGGGTTGTTTCAATGATTTGGAGTCATTTCTCATGTCATTTCAGCCCCTAATCCATGCTTGTATGCCTACATTCATCATTCCTTTCATACCTTGAAGTGTTGTTCTTTTATGCCTTGAAATAGGTCTTAATGCATGCCTCATGGTTTAAGGCTTTAGGCTGCCATATCAGTGGGTTTTGGGGGCTTATTTTGCATGTTGAAACTCTGTTTTTGGATGTGTAGCCCATGCCATGAGTGGTTGAGGTGGTTGTGGTACAATGCCCTCTTGTTAGTCTTGAATCCACCTTTGTTTTGCATCCATTCCTTAGCATGATTTGACCATGATCTATGCATACTTTAGTCTTGTTTTGGAATGCTAAGGGACTGTTTTAAGCCATTTTGGTCTGGTGGGGTTTGGTTGGTATAGCTATGATTTGGACCCCTTTGCTAGCTTCAAGATTTGGGCCCTATTGCATGCCTTGCTTGCATATTTCGTTGGATTTGGCATCATTCTTCATGCGATTTCAGAGCCTATTATAATGCCATATTCTCATGCTTACCAACTCTCACTCATGTTTGAAGGTTGGACATTGTGGTCTAGGTAATGGACCAATTAGCATGCTTGAATACTTTGCATTTAGTTGCCTTCACCCATCGCTCTGGCCACTATTTTGGGGTGTGGCCGAGGCCTCCCATTTCAGTTTAAGTCCCTCCTTGTCTATAGTTGCATGTTTGACATATTGCCTCTAATTACATGCTTACATTATACCATGTTTGCATCACATGTTAGGTTGCATCGCATTGTAGCATTGCATACTTGGCACATTACACACTTGCATTTGGCACATTACATACCTGCATGATAGGTTACCTTTCATTTGGCATGTCTTGTAACTTAGCCTCATGTTCCATATTTGAGCCACATTGCATACGTGCACTACATTTTGCTTGGTTTGGGGTGTCAAACCAAGCATGAGGATTGAGGGACGTTCGTACTTAAAGTGACGAAACACGTCTCAATCCTCGGTCGCCAATGCCCTTGACCTCAACATGATAGGGCATAAGGCATTCATCTATTTTATGCATGCATTTACATTAAGTTGCAAACTTGGTGCCTTAGGCCATCATGCATCGAAATGCGTGATTGGTGGCCCGAGTACCGAGGGTCACACTCCCATGAGTCCATAGCATGATTGGCAGAGTGGCCATGCATACATTTGCTTTGAATTTCCTTGCCATGCACTGTCTGCCCTCTGCTGCTGTCAAAAACAGGTTTCTCCAGGAAGAAATGGCCGGCCGGTCACATATTGTGCCGACCTACCATCAATGTCCAGCCGGTGGTGTAACTTTTGGCCGATAAGTCCATCCCCATGGCCGGTGAACTTGAATTATGGCCGGTGACACCCCAGAGCACTCAGAGGGTGATTCAAAATGGGTCTGGGGACTTTCAGAATTTTCAGAGGAGCAAGGCAGTGTAAACAGAGGCAACAGTGGCATGGCACGGGTTTCCGGGCGGGGCGAGTCGAGCATGTATCATCCTAGCATTCCGAGGCGGGGCTGCAGCCATCCTCTTTTCGCATTTAATTTGTTAATTAAATAAAAGATATGTAATACTTAATTAGTTAGAAGAGTTAATTATCTATTTGTTTTGTAATATTTATTCGGACCCTCCGAGCGAGGACAATTGTGTAATAAGTGTGCGTGAGTGTGTGTATGTCTTCCAACCCCACGTCTTTCTTCCCTTTTATTTACCCGCTTATGATGGTAGACTAGGGCATATTTAAA